TTTCCTCAATCTGGAATAGCAGTGGACAGAACTGAAACAACACTATTTGGCTTTTGCTAAAAGCTTTACATATTTCCACATAAGTAGAAAAGCAAGGAACTTTCCCATCTGGTGACTGCATCAGACTAAGACCATTCTTTTAAGTAGTGGGTAGTAACATACACAAATAAAAATCTGCAAACTCAAAAAGTCAAAATGAAGGATTAAGTTCCCAAGTAAACCCTTTGATTTGTTTTATATTTTCTCAGAAATTATCATGCCACCCTAAAAATGTCACAAAGGATTGGAACCATTTGGAGAACTGATATTTTTATTAACTGGCAGGGGGAAAAAAGGGAGAAGAAAAAAAGAGAAAATAATTTAGCTTCTCCATGGTTTTTAATCTTTAAAAACAGCAAAATATTAAAACATGTTGTTGAAATAAAACAGCCAACATTTCAAAACAACTGATTGTTTTTAAGCAAAACTTTTTTGGATGCATTACCAAAACTGACTGATAGTTTTCATTGACTTGACGGTTATCCATAAGTTTGGCAACACCCTATTATCTGAGACAGTATTGCCTACCCTATAGCCTAAATATGGAGCAGTTTATCATGTTTCCCAGGATTTACAGCACACATGTGCATACGTGTGCTGAAAATGACAGCAGAAGTCATGTGGCAGAACATTTAGCTGCCTTTTAAGTGCTGAGTGATCCTAGGTTGCACTATTATAATTTCCCATTGACTTGAACCCAGAAATTGCTTTTCTACATGTGTCAGTATTTTCAGAAAGAACACAAAACTTTGCTGCAGGCCTCGAGTGAAAGCACCAAAACTACGGCCATCTGTTAAGCACTGTCTTAGACATAAATGGTGTCCTAATCATAGTTCAACAGACTGTTTATTTTTAAAATAGACTGCTTACCAAACATACTTGGGGCTGTAGAGAACAAAAAATAAGAACCTAGTATTTGTCAATAAGAACCTAGTATTGTCAAAAGTGCTGTGAAGGCCTGACTGCCACTGAAAATAGTTCTTCAATGCATGCTTTCACATACTTCCCTAACTAACACTTCAAGTTTGTGGTTTTTAGGGTTTTTTTTTTGTTGGTTTTTTTTGTCTGTTTTTTGGTTGGTTGGTTGGTTAGTTCTGGTTTGTTTTGGTTTTTTTTCCCTTAACTTAGCCTTTAGGATCTGTAAAGGACTTTTTTCCTGTTTTTGGTTGGGCTTTTCTTTTTTTAATGCAGGAGTTTTTGCCTGCACCATCACCACAAAAGATGGTGCTTGCTGTTTTAGGTAAAATTAGTAGTAGCTGGAGAGTACTCTTTCTTGGCTATGCAGGATAATGTCACAGACACTTGAGACATCTATTACGAGCTCTTACCCATGAATTGAAGAGGTGTGCAGTGGAATCCTCCACAAAAATGCTCATATTCTAAAACATCCAGCAGTCTTCAAAACACGCTAAAACATGAAATATTCTAAGCAACCTGATTTTACTTATTCTTCCCTCAGTGTGCTGCTACATTTGAGTGCCCTGTCCTGTGATGCCGTCATTCACTCATTTTCCAGTAGGGACTTGTCTTTGCTACAATCTCTGAGGAAAGTGTGTCAGCACCAGGTGGGGCTGATTTGGCAAAGGAAGTGACTCTACAGCCAACTTTTTGTAAAATCTCTGCCTGTTTTCCGCTGAAGTTTCCCACTGTTGCTGCCATTTGTGCATGTTGCTACAAACAACGGGCCTGCTGGAAATGACTAAGTGACTGAAAAATCCTGGCATTTTCTGCCTGTCATTAAGAATGCCTCTGTATTTCTTGTACATTGGCATAACTGAGAAGGATGTTGTTCAGCCTGAAGAAAAGGAGGGTCAGAGGAGACCTTATTGCTTGCTATAACTACCTGTGAAAAGAGGTTGTGGTGAGGTGGGTGCCAGTCTCTTCTTCCAGTTAACAAGTGACAGGACAAAAGGAAACGGCCTCAAGTTGTGACAGGAGAGGTTTTGATTGGATAGTAGGAAAAGTGTCTTCATGGAGAGGGTTGTAAAGGATTGGAACAGATTGCTCAGGGTTAAACCATGTCCTCAAGTGCCATATCCACACATTTTTTGAACACTTCCAGGGGTGATGCTAGGTTGATGGTCTGACTTGATAATCTTAAGGGTCTTTTCCAAACTTAACGATTCTATGGTTCTATGATTGCTACTAATATTATGGCACCACTACTAGTCAGGAAAATGCATGTTGCCTTACATCTGCCAAAGAAACCATGACTCTGTTTCACAAAATTGAAGTCTCTCTTACGAACTTTATGACATCATCTCATTTAGGTGCTGGATTTTACAAATCTCAATTTATTTATTTATTTTTAAATTTGTGATTGTTGTCTCCTTTTTTTTTTGCTTTTCTTGCAACATTTGAAAACCAGAAATTGAGTAAATATCTGAAATAGAAATTCTATCCTATGGTATCATATTGACACTGATATAATTCTTCTGCAAGCATAGAAACTTAGCTTTTGCACAGGCCCCTGTCACTTCAAGAAGGCAGTAATTATATGCACTGACAAGTATAGAGAGGTCAGTCTGCAAAGCAGTGAAGATCCTTCCCTCTCCCTCCCACAAGCCTGATCCTCTATGTGCTTGCTCCTGCCTGACCTACCTTCAGCCCTGCCTCCCTTCCCCCTGGGCTCCTCGTCCTCATCTCACCCAATCAGTCCTGGCTTCCACTTCACTGAGGAAAAATATTTGTTTCCTTCTACTGCGGCACTTGCCTTGCTTTACAATTCTCATGTCACCTCTCAATCACTCTCTACTCAACTTTTTGACCTCATCTTCTTGTCCACTTAGGCCAAGTCCTCCTGTTCCTCAATTCCTGTTTCAATCTCTTTTCCCCTCTTCCAGTCCTTGCTCCTTCTGCACCGGAATGGTTTGCCTTGAGATCCCAGCTTCCAAACCCAATGCACAGCTGCATTTTCAGGAAACGCTCTGTTTCAGCCCTGTGTCTCTGACATACTCAGGATGGATATTGTATCCTAGCTGTGAAGCCACAGTGAGTCTTCATGCAAATGCTTGTGTTAATGGCAATATGCGAAGTCCCATAACGTTAAGACATGTTGCTGGCTTTTGCAAGAGCAGCCAAAACACATATTTGATGTAATACTTCCTCCCAGTTCATCCTCACATACCGAATCTTTACACTGAAATATGAAATTATTACTGATTGTTAGAGAAAAAAATATACACCTGTCGGCCTTTTAAGGTCATAAAGCACATTTTCTTTAATTTCATACCTATAACAGTTGGTTTAGATGAAACCTGCAACAGCAAAAATTTCTATCACCTCTGGTAACCAGTACAGCAAAATCCAAACCAAATATATGTGGGAGAATGAAGAAAAACTGGAAATGTAATACTTTAATTCGAGTTCAGAGGACAGTAGACCAAAAAAAATCATTAAAATCTCTACTTAGGAGGTAATTCTACACCAGAAAAAAATCTAATCTGGATAGACTTTGGTAGAGACTAGAAAGGGAATTTGTGTTAGGCTACACAGAAGGTGACAGAGCTGAAAATATAACATCAGACTCTAAAGTGCTGCATATGTAAGAAATTAAAGTGACCCAGCAGCAAAATGTAAGAACTTAGTTACAATGTTTGTGCAACATTTGTTAAATCCGGCTGTTAAGGATACTATGATGTAATTATATTTTGGACTGCTGCAAAAAAAATCCCCCAAACTTGTATTTACTCATCACATATATTTTGGCAATGACAACACAGTTGTAACAAAGAGTGATAGCAAATAATTAAAATATTATTATATTATTTTCCCTCTAAAAAATGTGTGATGAAATATTTCTACACCACTTCAGTGGAGGGGGGGCAGGGGGGCATTCAACTTCCGAACATTGTACACTCATCTTTTGGGGGACTTGCTTTCTTATATCAACTTATAAAAGAAAATCAGAATGGCCTGTATGGTTTACACTTTGCTGCTAATATAATTTATTCAAATATCATGCTCTATGCCTTTCCATGTGACTTGGAAAACATAACTGAAGCATTTGAAAAATTTTCTTAAAACGGTGTGAATCAGCACTGTGATTTCAAACAAAGGTAATGAGATCTGAAGCACAGGCAAGGTTGGCACTTACCAGGGTTTTAACCCCACCCGGCAAATAAGCATCACACAGCTGTTCGCTCACCCTCCCCTGGTAGGATAGAAGGTAGAATGAGGAAAGTGAGAAATCTCGTGGACTGAGATAAAGACAGTTTAATAGGGAAAGCAAAGCCACGCACACAAACAAAGCAAAACAAGGAATTCATTCACCGCTTCCCACAGTCACAGGTGTTATCCCCAGGAAAACAGGGCTCCCTCACGTGTAACGGTGATTTGGGAAGACAAATGCTGTAACTCCAAACATTACCCCTTCCTCCTTCTTTCCCTGGCTAAATATGCTAAGCATGATGACATATGGTATGGAATATCCCTTGGGTCAGTTGGGGTCAGCTGTCCCGGCTATGGCCTCTCCCAACTCCGAGTGACTACCCATTCTCCTCGCTGATGGGGTGAGGCGAGCAGAAAAGGCCTTGGCGCTGTGTGAGCTCTGCTCAGCAATAGCTATAACATCCCTGTGTTATCCACGCCGTTTCCAGCACAAACGCAAAACACGGCTCCACACCGGCCGCTGTCAAGACAATTGACTCTACCCCAGCCAAAACCAGCACAGCGCTCTCTTCACACGCGTGCCACTTCACACCTGTGTAGTTTGGCAGGACGCAACAAAGCGCAAGGTGTGAACAAGCCGATTAGTCGCTAATGACGGGTATTATTTGAAGCGCCACAAGCAGCCGACTCAGAATCACGCCGTCGACCGCCCGTGCCACTTTCCCTCGGCAATTAAAACAACGAGGGGGCCGTAAGACGGCACACGCCGCACCCGCCTGGGGCGGGCCCGGCGCGGCCGCGCTGGGGCGGTGGCGGCGCCGCCCCTCGGGGGGCGCGTCCTGGCGGCGGCCACGTTGACAGAGCGGGAGCGGGGCCGCGCCGTGCGGGGCACTGCGGGCGGTCCGGGCGCTGGCCGTGCTCGCTGTGCCGTTTCGGGGTGCGGGAACGGCGCCGCTGCCACAGTAAAAATGTCTTCGCCTCCCAAAGAGAAAGCAGAGACGCGGGCCGGACACCCTCCTGCTGGTACGGCCGCCGGTTCCCGTCTCTCCGCTCTTTCTCTTCCCACGCCGGGGGACGGGCCGGGGGGGGAGGGCCGTGGCGGCCGCGGGCCGGCGGGGCCGAGCGCCTCCGGGAGAGCCCGGCCGGGCGCAGTTCCCCGCGGAGCCACCGCTCTGTGCACTCCGGTGCCGCCCGGGGCTGAGCAGGGCGAGGTTGGCCTCGGGCGGGTCCCGCCGCAGGCAGTGCCGAACAGCCCCGGGGGGTTCCTTCTCTCCCTGCTGCCCGGGCGCCGCCGCCCGGAGCGACGTGTGGTGGTGACGCTCTGGCCGCGGGAGGTGTGCTGTGGGATCCAGGTGGGATGGGATCCTGAGCCCTGCTCGCCATCGGCGCTCCCTGCCCTCCGGCAGCTTTCCCGGTGACGGGGCGACTCTCCCTGCCCTGTTCCTCCCGGAGGACCTCCCTGGTTATGGACAAACCCTCATCGGGTGTGTGCAGCTTGGCGTCTCCGGGCTCCCACCCGGCAGACAACGTTGTCTTCCACCGGCATCCCGCCCTCGAAAGGCGGGGGAGGCCTGCGGAACCACCGCCTGGGGCTGGCGATGGTGGGAAGAGGAACGGGAACGGAGCAGTCTGGGTCACGGAGACGATGTTCCAACAGCGCAAACTGAGTGCGAGCAGACGCACTGCAAACTAGTAATACTGTAGTAGTACGCTGTGCATCCATTTTGCCTGTGGGCGTCACGGTGTGAGTGCCAGAGCAGGCTGCGCGCTCCTGGCTGCAACTCTGGAGGCTGGCAGAGTAGGAAACAAGTAAAGCTGCTTATGAACTGCCCAGCAAAGGAGCTCTGTCCGTTCCATCCCGCTGCTGCGTGCTCGTGGGAGAGCAGGTGGTCAGGGTAGGAGCTGTGTGTCACATTCAGTGGGACACCCATCTGCCGCCGTCCATGGACGGCAGCTCCTCTCTGGCGAGCTTTTTTTTTTTTTTAAGTGTTTCAGTAGCAACTGTTGAAATTCTAAATTCATAGGTGGTAAGTTTTATATTCACATCAATTGATGAGATTTAAAGCTAAATTTGTAAACGGTTGTTGAACCCTTATTTGATTCTATTCTTTTTATAATGAGGACCTGTGATTCCTCTAAACAGATATTAGAAGTGAGAAATAATGGCTTTACTTTGCATGGCAAATATAGTTCAGCAGTTGAGTTACGCCAGTCTCTTGGCCAAGCAGAGTCATCCTAGTCCTGCAGCCTCCCTTGTCATGGAGGAGCTTTGACCTGACTTCCTGTTGAGCTGCTTCAGGGAACCAAACCCAATGGTTCCCCAGTCTTTCCCAATGGTGACAGCTTTTGTTGCCATAGCTCTGGAGCTGGCTTCCTTGAGGTACACGTCAGCTTCAGAGTGAAGGGATCATTAAGACCTGACAGTGGTTTAGCTTTGTCTCCCAGCTACATTGTCGATGGCATATATTTTCATTTAGGTGCTTTACGACTGTATTTTCTGATGTCATTGCATGTTTGAGAGTGTTGCTTCAAAACCTGTCTTTTGAAACAGGTGGCATTTTTAAAAGACCTGAAGTGAGCCTCTCTACACAAGACACTAGCGATGCACAGTGCAAAAGCACAACTGGAGTACAGTACAGGCTTCCTTTGCTGAGTATTTCAGTTTATTTTTTCTGTGTAAAACATGCCCACATATGAACTGAAGAACTTTTTCAGCCTTTTAAGATCATTGGCATCCCTGTTATTTTTTTTGTATGTGTAAGTATGCATCAGTTGAGCTTTGGAAGGAAGGAGATTACCAAGTCTGTCTTTGAGGTTAGAAAAAACAACTAACACTATGTACAGTATCTTCAGGAAGAAGTTAAATTCCAGGATGCTTCTGCAAGAAGGTGGTTCTGAGCCGTCTGGCAGAGGAAAGTGGCCCTGTGTTCTTTTAACACTTAGAAAACCACAACAAATGTGCTGACTAGCAACAGTTTTTATATTTAGTGTGTGAAGCTAGGTTTTAATCCTCTGTATCAAGCTGGTTTAGATCCTTGAATATTAAAACAATGCAATAGGTCAGTCTGTAAGCAAGTTTTAATAAAATGAAAGTAAAAGATTTTTTACAAAAATAAATACAGGTGGAATTGTGTTCATAAATAACAAAGACAGTTCCTAGCAAAGATGTGAATAAGGTATCTCGTTTGATAAATGGCTTAAAGGCTCAGGTTTTGCTGCATACAGTTGTATAAAGAGCCCTACCTGTAATTACAGATGTCTTACCCCACTGAGTATGATTTTGACACATAAAAGTTAGTAAGGATTAGGGTCATCAAATTAAAAGCAAAATTAGCAAATCCATTGTTTTTCATGTGCACTCTTGGCACTCACTTACTGACTGCGTGCAGTCTGTTGGCTCCATTTCTGCATTGATCTTTCACATATGGGGGAAGAAAAAGCACTTGAAAAGACCAAGGATAATGAAATGGAAAGGAACCTCAAGACCTCAGGCTGCTAACAGGGTGTACGAAGTGACTTTGAACTTCTTTCTGAAATTTAAGAGGACCTTAACTTAATCTTTATTAAATATCTGTCTGTCAGTGAGATCAAATGCACCTGCATGTAATATGTTTCTGAGTAGGTTTGTACAGTCCCTCTAAAGAGCTGTGCTTAATTATGCTTTTAGTTGTTCATTTCTTCTGGTAGATACTGTGGAGGGACAAAGCAAGGTGGTTGTGTTAATAGTTTATTTGTGAAGCTTTACAATAGATTCATATATTTTGTGAAGCTTTACAATAGATTCAGGGGCCTCTGGTGGTCTAGTGGTTAGAGTGTCTGACTCTCACCGCTGCGACCCGGGTTCAATTCCCGGCCCCCTGGGCAGGTGGAGCTCGTCAGCCGTGGAAGGCAATCCACCTAAGAGAAGGTCACTCTAAACAAACCTACATCCTGGGGACCTCACTGCCACTGTCCAAGCTTTGCTCGGCCCCGGCAGATGAACCTCAGGACTAAAGGGTGGGCTCAGTTCAGCACACGCTGTGTCTCACCTAAAAATCCACTGCGCAGGCTGGAAGGGTTAATGACCTTTCCCAAATCTTCGCTCGCGAAGACTGGCCATTATATATATTATTTATACAATAGATTCATGAAAGTAGTTATGTGCTTTTTCCTGCACTAAAAAAAATATAGCTTTGAGCCAAGATTTCTATGAAATGAAGGTATATAATAACTCTTACCTCTGTTCTTACTTTGTTGGACACTAAGGTATGCTCCCTTAATCTTTCACAAGGGCATATTTTGTGTTTCCCTTTTCATGCATCTTATCATTGTAATGGAATCTGTTATTACACAGTACATAAGAAATAAATTTTCATGTTAATATTGAATAGCATACTCAAGGAAAAGGGGAACCTGCTAAAACTCTTGGTTATAGTCTGGATTTCTAAAAGTTCCTCCCCAGATGCTGTGACCAGCAGTGTATTAAGGGGAAACCTGCGCTGTGAGCGAGCTGGGGCCAGTGCCATTGCTGATCTATAGTGCTTCTCTAGGTGCTTGTTACTTGCTCCAGCTCAGTGGGGTTTATTTCAGAATTCAGTCTCAGAGACTGGGAGGAGTCTGAAATAAGCACAACAGTGGGGGGAGGAGAAGAAAAAGTAGAGTGCATTCCCACTCTAGATTGAAGGAGTAGTCATACCATTAAGAGGACCACGGGCTGGCATTCACAGGACAGACAGGGTAGTCCTGTCTGACTCTCAAGGGGGGAAAAACATGACAGATGGTAATTAAAATCCAAAACTTGTCTCATATCCAGCAGTGAGGCAAACAGACTTGTTGCTCTTCTCAGAGCATGCTGGCAGATGATCTCTTCTTTATTTCACACTTCAGAGACTGGTGGTCTCTTGGCTGCCACCACCCCAGGGAGCTGTTCCCGGTCCCCTCTTGCCTTAGCGCAAGTCCCTCCTAAGTTCTCCTCTTGCACAGGAGCTGCTTTCTTCCTAATGCCAACACATTTTTGTTGACACCATCCACTTCTGGGCACCGATTTCTGACAGCGTTCTGAAAGGTGGTTTATCATTTATTTAGGTCCTTTCTCTGCAGGATTTATTACAAGAAAATCTGAGCTCTTTTAAGGGTGATTTTTAAATGACAAATCACCATGGTAAACGTCTGCCAAATTGTGTAGTAAATGCTAGGCAAGTACGAAATAGATGAATCCTCATAACTCCCAAGAAAATCTCCCAAATGGAGTGGGTTTTTCTTTAGCTTGGTGGACGTAATCATAATTTTTTCTCTCTGTCTCTCTCCAATGTAGTGTAGATTAGTTGAAACCTTTTGAAAAGGAAGGTGAATTTTGCTGCAAGAGTATTTTATCTTCTTAAGATAAATCTCTTGAAACTAGATTGGGTATGAGCATTCTGTGTCATGGGTGGCAGAAATGTACATCAGCTATATGTATAGAATGCTGATCTAATTATTTAACTTTTGGTCTCAGAAATGCACATGATTGTGGCAGTTGTTTGCTGGATTCTTCTTTTGATTTCCCAGGTCTGCGCAGTAACCTCAGATTACTAAGTATTATTAATTATGCACCAAAGTACTTTAAGGTGTCTATGCTATTCCTGCTGATATTAGTTCAAAAAAATCAGATTTAAAAAAAACCGTTAAGTTGCTGCATTACTCAGTCACTATTATGCCTTTTAGTTGTCTGGCTATTTGCTTTTTAATCCCTGTTAATTCTTCATACAGATAAATCTGAACGTGTTAGCTGCATATCTTTTCTAGTGACAGATAAAGAGAAAACAAGTGGCTGGTGGCCTGATGATATACAATATGAGAAGAGAGAGATTTTAGACCACCTAAATTAGCACTAAATCTTCAGGTACTGATTTTTTACTTTCCTATGAGATGGTGAAGGACATGGAGATGTGTGTATTGTTCAGAGGTGCCGTTTGTAACCCTGGCAGATGTTGCTGTGGAGACAGCATCTTCCACGAAAAGTAATTTGAAATAAATAATAACTGATTCTGCAATGATGTTAAATATAGACATTAATTCAAATTATTAATTTGTAAATTAAGGTCAATAAAACATACCAATCACTTTCATTAACTGAGATATTAAAAGATGACAGCACTTGGCAGAACTCTTGGTGTTTGCTTTTGCAAACAAACTGTAATTCCTGAGGAGCTTGAATCAAGAGAAATTAATTGGAATTTTAGTTTTGCTTCACTTTAGGCAACAAGAAATATAACTTTAAACTGTCTCTCCTTCCTTGTTCCATGTGAAACATTTCTCACCTATTGAAGTATAAGTTCTGGAGACAGAACACAAAATGATTAGTGATCTGGGTTTAGGGGTTGTTTTTTTTTAATACATGGTAAGAGGACACAATTTTGATAGGTTCTGAAAGATATTTCTTTGGGTTTGTCTGTTGATTGCCTAACTTTAGTTAATGACCTTTATTGAATCAGAAGTTTGCCTTTCAGATATCATAAAAAGTTTAAAATCTGTTTTTCAAAAGCAGGGCCAAAGAGCTGTCACTTTCTCCTAGGGCAGGTCGGTTTCTCTTTCCTGATCGCCTTCACACAGGCTGTAGAATTTATGCACAGTGGTGTCCTGTCCATTGCTGTCCTGGTTAAGACTTGAGCACTAGACCTGTGTCTAGGTTTCAGGGATTAGCACTGAACTGCTGTGAGGTGCCCTAAGCCCTCTGTGGCTGGACACAGGAGGGCTGTCAGAAGTACAGCTTCCCCCAGCCATGTTGGCAAGCGCTTCAGCTTCTTCCAGTGGCTGCTCTGGCATCCTGCTCACTCTGGCTGTGACATCTCTGCCGAGTCTGACCAAGGCTTGCTGTGTCAAGGCAATGTGAAACACAAACCAGCGGGTCTGTAGGTGGTTTTATTGACTTCTGACCGCTACAGTGGTGTTCTTATGAGGTTGCTGATGGCAGTGTAACCCATCCAGTTAGCTAATGAGATGCATCTTCTTGTCCTGTGCTGTCCTGTAAGCGTGTATAGCAATGGTTGAAGAAAAAAAAGTACACTATTGAAACAGAAAGCAGATCAAGAGCAGCCTGCCTGTTGCTCTGCTTTGTAGCTGCAGTGTTAAGCCTGGCTCGGTTCCTGTTTTGTATTGCGATTTGGAGTGGATAAGTGATGAACATAAGTGGATTTGCTTTCACTTCTTGTTTTGTGTTTCAAAGGGATGCTTTCACATTTGCATCATTTCTAAAACTAAATGATGCAAGCATTTGAAATGTTGTAAATGCTAATATGTTTTACAAAACAAAAAACTCCATTCTAAATGGAAGTTAACAGTCCTTCTAAGCTTTGCTTTCTGTTACACTATTTCTAAAGTACTTTTTGTATAAATACTATTATTATAGATGTACTTTTTAAACTTGAAATGACAAGTAAGTTTATTTGACCCTTCCTGTTCTATCAGAGTATTTAACGTTCATGTTTGTGGCCTTTTGTGCAAGTCATTGCCTCAGTTTCTTCTTTGGACTACTGCAAGTTAGTAAGAGGTGGAGGGGGAGTTAAAACAGCGTTGAGTTTTCTGAAATGATGTTGAAAGCAGATGATAAAATGACCTGCAGCTTCTCAGGATAAGCAAAGATGGCATGATGTAAAAGAGAATGGCAGATGTGGTCCTGAAGTAGCTGTTCCTCAGGCTTGCCGCTTTTTTACACTTCAGGCCCTTTTTTCAAACTGTAATTACCATTAAACTACTCTGTAAAGTATCAGGAAGCAAGTGGGGAGAGTCATGCTTAAAACTTCCTTCTTACGGTATTTTGACTGAGGTTTGTTTTGTCTGTTTAATTTTCATTCCAGTGAAAGCTGGTGGGATGCGGATTGTGCAGAAACACCCACACAATTCTGATGCCAAAGAAGAAAAAGATAAGGATGACCAAGACTGGGAAACCAGCAGGTGAGCACTTTTGATTTGGTGCATGTGCTACAGTGAATTTCCATGACCTTGAGCCTTATCACCAGTTTGCTTTCCTTGTAAATAGCAAACCAAAGATACAGTTGGTTTTGTATCATAAAGCAGTAGCAAGTAGACACTCCTTCAAGAGAATTGGAGAATTTGGGAATTTTCACATCGCTAAACCTCTTTTAAATGATGCCGCCAGGTAAGAGAAGATTGGAGAAAAAAGTACAGTTAAAGTAAAACCTCAGCTTTCCTAAAATGTTTGAATTCAGACTGTGGAGAAGCACATTTGGACATAAGCATTACGCTGTCAATTCATATGAGATGGTCTTGCTGTGTGCTGGGTGATTCCTTTTACCCTGTAGTCCCTATCCTTTCTCTGTGAGATATTTGACAATATGGTGCTTTTGAAAAGACAAGTAAAAATAAATGGTGTTAATATTATCTGCTTTTATTTTAGATGGGAATCTATCAGTTCTGGTGGTGGCAAATACTAAGACAGCAGTTACTTAGCAGTTTTAAGTAGATTTATTGGATTACTGCTGTTTAGAAAGCGGGGAGGTTCAATGAACTGTTGCGGTACTTCTGTTCCTACAAAAGCCACCTAGTTTTGTGCTGCTTTCCGTGGCTAGATGTTTTTCTTTGTAGCCAGGACTATACTTACCTGAAATGTTTATCTACTAACTTACTGCCTGGGATTGTTCTTGGTATTTGCTCAACTTAAAAAAACCTTGAGATCTGTTCTTGTGCTTTGGTAAGTAGACTGACTTATATTTATTTTACATGTAGAACAATGAAAATGTCTGTATAAATAAGAACAAAGGTGTTTATTTACTAAATCACAACTGGAATAGGAAACACCTTTATAAGAAGAGAAAACTAATTTTAATTAATATATTCAAATACAATGCAGGAAAATTATACTTTATGTCCTTTCTTCATCAATCAAATTGGTCATCTTGTAATTCTGCTCAGTGGCATATAAGTTAAAAGAGTCTGTACTGCAATCAAGTTTTGATTTAAGTAAGAAATTGTTTCTTGGGGTCAATTTAAACTTTGCTTGGGGATACATCATTTTATTTAAGGTGTGGTTGTGGTGGGTTGACCTTGGCTGTACAACAGATGTCCACCAAGCTGTTCTATTACTCCCCTACTCAGCAGGATGAGGAGGGAGAAAACAAGATGGAAAAAACCCCATGGATCAAGACAAAGACAGTTTAATAAAGCAAAAGAAAGCCCATGTTGCACGGAAGCAAAGGAAAACAAAATATTTATTCACTATGTCCTTTCAGCAGACGATGTCCACCACTTCCTGCGTAACATGGCTTCAGTACATGTAGTGATTGCTCTGGAAGAAAACATGGTGATAATGAATGCTCCCTGTCTCCTCCTCGTCCTTTCTCCCAGCTTTTATTGCTGAGCAGATGGTATGGAATATCCCTTTGGTCAGTTAGGGTCGACTGTCCTGACTGTGTCCCCTCCTAAGATATTGCCCACCCATAGCCTGCTGGTGAGAGGGTGGTGGTGGAGAGACAGCCTAGGTGCTGTGGAAGCACTGCTCAGCAGTGGCCAAAACACTCGTGTGTTGTCAGTACCTTTCCAGCTACCAATGCGAAGCACAACACAGAAAAGGCTGCTATGTTGACAATTAACCACCTCACCCAGACCCAGCACAGCATTATGTACCTTCTTATTCTTATCTTTTCTTGGCATGCCAGCCTCATGGTGAGGGTGCCTGATTAGGATCCAAATGAGAAGACTTCTTGTATCTGTTCACAGACCTAAGCCTCTGTTACGGTATAGCATGTGCTTTATTCTTTTCTTGGAGAAAGATTATGTTTCCCTCTCTCACTCAAATAGTGCAGGGAAAAGTTAAAATTTAATCTTGATATTTGTGGCTGTGTTTGCTGTAGCAGGTGCTGTGGCACAATAGAAGCCCATTTGTGGGGGTAAACAGTGGGTGCTGAGGACTTAATGTTCATACTGTGTGTGTTTTGGAGATTACTTAGTTTGGTTGTCTGGACTGAAGGACCAATCCTAGCTGGCATGTGTTAGGTGTCTCCTTGGTATAGGTGTTCCACTTTAGCATTATCTTCAGAGAATCCAGGTGAACTGGCCTGAGACCAATCCACAATGTGAAACAAAGCCTGGGCAACAGAATGATTGGGAGAGGGCTGCGCTCCTGATCTGTAGATGCTAGCAAAGACACACTGTATATTAGTATTGTAAAGCAGGTCTGTGAACAAATTTTATGCTTTTATGGCAGAGGAGATAGTTTAATGACCTCTAGAGCTACCTTATTAACTAGAGAATAGTTAGCTGTTACACATCATAAAATTCATTCCCTTGTCTACTTGATCAGTTGATTGTCAAAATATGTATTTGGAGTGTGCTCTTTGCTTTGGTTTTATGTGGAGGATACATTGTTGGTCTGTATTAGGCACTTGTGCATACAGTTTTCTTGAGCCTGTATATTAAAACAGAAAGCACTGGGCTAAACTATTTTATTTCTTTGATCTAATCCTTTTTAAAAAGAAAGCAGCGGGGGGACATAAAGAGCATAGTTAGGTGGGAACCAACATGAGTTATAATACAAAACAGTAAGTTGGTTTACAACTTGAGAGAAGTTGTTTTCCTGATAGAACGAGAAACCTTTTGTGTATGTAAGGGAAAGGCTGTTGTAGGCTCCTGTGCGAATACTTGCACTGCTCTGGTGTTAGTACAGGCTATAGATGTGAGCAAGAATGTATTTAGCTGAAGACAGAATAAGCAAACTTCACAGGCCACAGTACATAAAGTTGTTGTTGTTGTTAGTCAAAATTAAATTATGCTTTTGTGCTGGAAGGTGCAGCCCCCGGAGTTTGTGTCTGTTCCTGGTGATTCACGGTGCCCTTTGAATATCCTTGGATTTCTGATGCCCGTGGAGACTGGTTTATCAGGCGATGGGGATGGCTTTGTCAGGAGAGGAGAAGTGAGCATTCTGTTCTGCTTTCTCCAGCACCAACGTACTTGTGGGGCTTTGCTAGCTGATGTTTTATGTCCCTTTGCTAAGCAGATATGGAGACATCTGTGTTTTTAACTTTCTACTATCATGTTTTTAGTCTTTGCCATTTTAAGGTAGTATTGTTGATATGATGCAATTTCTGCTCCCTATTGCATTCAAAGTTAAAAAGAGCAAACAGCCCTTCAGGAAATCTGTATCAGGTGATACGGCCAGCTGACAATGATGTAGGAGAAAAGAATAAAACAGAAGAGTAATTTGTTTGTGAAAAGGGAGGGTAGAATGACTAAGTCATTATTTTAATCTCATTGCAGGTTTACTTGAGGACAGATTAGTGGAACTGATAGTAAATGGAAGAAGAAGAATTCAGTCTCTCCCAGGGTTCTCTGGGAATTCTGAGAGCACATGTCCTCCCCATGATGGCACAAATCTGAGCATTTGCTCAGCAAGAAGGCTTTTGGCTGTGGTTCATAGAAGTATTTGTGGCTTCAGAGACAGCATTGTTTTTGCAGCCTGGTTGCAGAAAAAGTTGTTGTGTCAATGTTTCTAGTCTTAAACAAAACTGATACAGGTGAACACCCCTGACATAGCTAACTGTGCTGTGATAAAGGTGACTAACATTCACTAGTTGACATTTATTTTTCTCAGTTGTTTAGCAACTTTTAGCTCATTTCATGAAGATAGGGAGACTTGTCATAATGGTGATTTGTGATCCCTTAAAACAGTATGTGGTAAGACAATTTTATACAAATTTAAACCTTTCCTGTGAGGCAGTTCTCAGCCTTGAGTGGTAGAAATAATTTTATGTGTCTGGTATAAATAGAGTTTTACTTAAAGAGGAATGGTTGGATCTGATTATATAGAGAAGACTTGATGAAAGTAGGGAGAAGTTGCATTGTTTGGTTTAGGTGAACTAAAGATGTGGCATCTCCAAAAGCCAGTGGCACCCCTTTGGTCAAGGTGTCAGTAGTAAACTGGACTGTGAGGTGGGTTTCTTGGCACATGTGTTCAAGACAAGAGTGACTTTGATCAGCCAGTTGGAGATAGGATACTGGCTGGATGAACTTCTGGACTGATCCATTACTGATTTTCTTATGTTTTTGTAATTGCTTGTCACTTGTGTTGATTTGAATTTTTTTATATGGTTGCAGTTTTTATTGATTGAAAGTCCTACTGATTGCTACCGGAAGGAGTTTTTTTGTGGCGCTGGAGGAAGGTGAAACTTATAATTAGAAGTATGGTTATGAATCAAAATCATCATTTTTCAGGACCGTATGTTGTCATAGAAATTATTTGGAATAGCTAGGCTACTCATAGTCTTGGGCTCTATTAAAAGCCCGTTAATGCATGTTTAACTGAGATTTGCAGTATCATGTGCATTCCTGAGCCAGCATCTGACTCTTGATGTAATAAATACTCCTGAAAGACAGATAATTTGAAGTGAGAGCTGTTTGTTCAGTTTTGCACAAGAGATTCATTAATTGTAATTCTGGGATCTCAAGAAGAAGAAACTGTAATTATTTATCAGCATCAGGATATAAAAAAAACCCCTTTAAAAAAGCAAATATCAGACTTATTTTTAACAAACAGGGTAAACTGCAAAGGCTCTTATGTTTAAAGACTTTCATGCTCTTTTGTTATATTTCTGAAACAAAGTGGGTAATTACAGTGATTTAACTACTCAATATAAATTCACTGGAGTGGTTTCTCTATGTATGTAAATTGTATGTGATTTGTATCTTAAACTTACCTGGAGATTATGAACCCAGAATTATATTTGATTTACCCATCAGCTCTAGAAAGAATAAATTATGCAGCCTGGATTTTAATTCAGTTTACAATGTGGATATTTGCTTTAGTTATATTCACTGGGTGAAAGAAAAAAGAAAAAAAAAAGAGAGTGTAATTTAGAATGTGGAGACTCAAAAGTAAAATCGTGCTAATGAAGCATATGGGTGCTCATATGTCAAAGAGCCACTCTTGGTACTTAGTTACA